TGGTCGTGCTGGGGTGTGGCCGTGCTGTGGTGAGGTCGTGCTGGGGTGTGGTCGTGCTGGGGTGTGGTGAGGTCGGGATTTCAAAAACAAGCGTTTCGCTCGAGACATCCTCAAATTTTAATTCGCCGGCCTCAAAAACAAGCGTTTCGCTCGAGACATCCTCAAATTTTAATTCGCGGGCGCTCAAAAACAAGCGTTTCGCTCGAGACATCCTCAAATTTTAATTCGCGGGCTCGTTATTTATCAGGGAAAAATTCTCCGGCCTCCTTCGACCTCGTTATTTATCAGGGAAAAAATTCGCCGGCCTCCTTCAAGCAGGCACCGGGGGACTAGGTTTACCTACTAAAAGAGAACCCTGGGCCGGAGCCCTTTCCGGGAACAAGCGTTTCGCTCGAGACATCCTCAAATTTTAATTCGCCGGCCTCAAAAACAAGCGTTTCGCTCGAGACATCCTCAAATTTTAATTCGCCGGCTCGTTTTTTATCATGGAAAAAATTCGCCGGCAATTCGCCGGCTCGTTATTTATCAGGGAAAAAATTCGCCGGCAATTCGCCGGCTCGTTATTTATCAGGGAAAAAATTCGCCGGCCTCCTTCAAGCAGGCACCGGGGAACAGGTTTACCACTAAAAGAGAACCCTGGGCTCGAGCCCTTTCCGGGAAAAAAAACATGATGGACCCACGAACCCGGAAAGGGATAAAGACATGTGCAGCATGGTCACGTTTTCACGATACCCAACTGGGCGACATCTCACGAAACATCCCACGAGACACCCCGCGAAACATCCAACGAGACACCTCACGAAACATTCCACGAGACACCTCACGAAACATTCCACGAGACACCCTTTGAAACATTCCACGAGACACCCCACGAACAGGCAACCACTCAACCAGACACGCCACGAAACATTCCACGGGGGTGCGACTGGGTGTGGTCGTGCTGTGGTGTGGTCGTGCTGGGGTGTGGTCGTGCTGGGGAGTGGTCGTGCTGGGGTGTGGTCGTGCTGGGGGGTGGTCGGCTGGGGGGGGTCGTGCTGGGGGGTGGTCGTGCTGGGGGGTGGTCGTGCTTGGGGCGTGGTCGTGCTGGGGCGTGGTCGTGCTGGGGCGTGGTCGTGCTGGGGTGTGGTCGTGCTGTGGTGAGGTCGTGCTGGGGTGTGGTCGTGCTGGGGTGTGGTCTTGCTGGGGTAGGGTCGTGCTGGGGTCGGGTCGTGCTGGGGTGTGGTCGTGCTGGGGTATGGTCGTGCTGGGGTGGGGTCGTGCTGGGGTGGGGTCGTGCTGGGGTCTGGTCGTGCTGGGGTGTGGTCGTGCTGGGGTATGGTCGTGCTAGGGTGGGGTCGTGCATTTCGCTCGAGACATCCTGCCAAAATTCCAGGAAATCGTACAAAAACAAAGGAATTAGTCGAGACATCATCGAAATTCCTTCGCGCGGGGCGCTTTTCCGCGTCGCGGTCGGCTCTGCAAAACAAGCGTTTCGCTCGAGACATCCTCGGCAAACTCTGCGGAGCAAGCGTTTCGCTCGAGACATCCTCAACACACGAAAAAGTGGCCCGCACCCTGTGATTTATCGATCGGGATTTCAAAAACAAGCGTTTCGCTCGAGACATCCTCAAATTTTAATCTGCCGGCCTCCTTCGGCCTCGATATTTATCAGGGAAAAAATCCGCCGGCCTCCTTCAAGTTGGCACCGGGGGACATGTTTACATAGTAAAAGAGAACCCTGGGCCCCCGCCCTTTCCGGGAACATCAATCTTCGAGGGTTGGAAGTGGGAAAACGTCAGAAGGCGAACAACGATGAAAATGGCATGGGAAATCAACGATTTTACCCTCGGGACGGCTCTCGCAGCTCTCTTGGGCTGTTTGGGGCCTCGTTGGGGTCTTTTTGGGGCCTCTCAGGGATCGGGGGTGTGTTGGGAGCCTCTGGGGGGTCCCAGAGGCCTCTCGGAGGTCGCTGGAAGCCTCCTGCTCCCGCTCTTGGGCCCATTTTGGGCATGTGTTCTGGGGTAGTCTGGGGCTGTCCTGGGCGCCTCTTCGGCAGTCTTGGAGCCTTCTTGGCTCGTCTTGGGGCCGTCCTGAGGGTCTCATGGGTGGTCTTGGGGCGGTCTTGGGAGCCTCTTCGGCGCTCTTGGACCATTGGAAGCTCGAAAACGCGAGAAGCCAAAAACATTGCAAAAAACAAATGGAAATCTACGATTTGGGCCTCTTCCTCTCGGACCTCTCTTGGGGTCTGTTGGAAGCCACCTGGGAGCCTCGAGAGCCGTCCGAAGGCTGACTTGGGCTGCTTGGGAACGTCTTGGACCATCTTTTCACATTCTGGGTGCTCCTGGGAGGCGTCTTGGGCCCTCCTGGGGCGCTGTGGAGGCTCACCGGAAAAGCCTCTTGGGCTCCTGGGGGCGTTCTTGGGCGGTTTGGGCGCCTCGTGGGCCGTCTTGGCCCCCTCGTGGGCCGTCTTGTGGCCCTCTTGGGGGCATCCTCGACCGGCTTGGGTGCCTCTTGGGCCGTCTTGGATGCAGTGGACGCCCGAAAGGCAAACACGCCAAAAATATCAGTTTTCCCATGGGACATCGGCGATGTTTGCTTATTGGGCCACTCTCGGGGTGCCTCTTGGGGCGTCTTCGGAACCTCTTTTGCTGTTTTGTCGGGTCTCATGGGAGCCTCTTGGGGCTTCTGGGCTCCTTCTTGGAGCGTCTTGGGGTCTCCTAGGGTCTCTTGGGCCAAAAAGCCCGAATTTCTGGTTCCTCGCCCCCGTCTTGGGCGCCGCCTTGGGGCGTTCTTGTGCGGTTTGGGCGCCTCGTGGGCCGTCTTGGCCCCCTCGTGGACCGTCTTGGGGCTCTCTTGGGGGCATCCTCGACCGGCTTGGGTGCCTCTTGGGCCGTCTTGGACGCAGTGGACGCCCGAAAGGCAAACACGCCCAAAGTATCAGTTTTCCTTTAGGAAATCGGCGATGTTTGCTTATTGGGCCACTCTCGGTGTGCCTCTTGGGGCGTCTTCGGAGCCTTCGGGGGCCTTCTTGGCGTCATGGGAGTAGTCTTGAAAAGCGTCTGGAGCCATTGCTGCGGCCTCCTGGGGCCTCCCTGCAGCCTCTTGGGGCCCTGTTGACCCCGGGACGCCGAAACCCCGTAAAAAAAACACAAGGAAAACGACGCCTGGCACCCCCATGCCCTGTCGAGGTCGCGTTCCCGGGCACCCAGGCCTCATGTATGTGTGCATGCATATATGTGTGTTTGTGTGCATGTATGTATGTATGTATGTATGTATGTATGTATGCATGCATGTATGTATGTATGTATGTGTGTATGTATGTATGTATGTATGTATGTATGTATGTATGTATGTATGTATATGTATATGTATATGTATATGTATATGTATATGTATATGTATATGTATATGTATATGTATATGTATATGTATATGTATACGTATATGTATATGTATCTGTATCTGTATCTGTATCTGTATCTGTATCTGTATCTGTATATGTATATGTATATGTATATGTATATGTATATGTATATGGATATGTATGTATGTATGTATGTATGTATGTATGTATGTATGTATGTATGTATGTATGTATGTATGTATGTATACATGTATACATGTATGCATGTATGTGTATGCATGCATGTGCGCATATATGTAGATAAGTAGGTAGGTAGGTAGGAATGCACGTATGAAACTATGTAGGTAGGTAGATCGGTATGCGTGTGTGTGCATATGTATGTGTATGCTTATGTGTATGTGTAGGGGTGTGTGTGCATGTGTGCATGCGTGTATGTATATGTATATGTATGTGTGTATGTGTGTATGTGTGTATGTGTGTCTGTCTGTCTGTCTGTCTGTCTGTCTGTCTGTCTGTCTGTCTGTCTGTTTGTCTGTGTGTCTTCGTCTGTCTGTCTGTCTGTCTGTCTGTCTGTCTGTCTGTCTGTCTGTCTGTCTGTGTGTATGCGTGTATGCGTGTGTATGTCTTATGTAAGCATGTGTGAATGTATGCCTGTATGTATGCATGCATGCATGCATGTATGTATGTATTATATGTAATGTGTGCCTATGCCCGCCACCGTGCGCCTGGCGCGTTGTGGAGTTCCCGGAGGCTTACAGCCGTGCCGCTGCTGCTGCGGCCAGGCTCCCCGGGCGCTGCTGGACGCTGCCGGGGTGCTCCGCGTGGGCCCTCCGGGGGTCGTGCGCCTGCCCCAAAACGACCAGGCCCCGCAAGGTCCCCGTAAGTGTCAGAAAGAGTGTCGAAACAGTGTCAAAGCAGTGTCGGGCGAGTGTCTCCCAGGGCCCGACACGTGAAAACCCTTGAGATTCGGTACTTTGTTTGGCGCTCGAAATTCTTTCTGGTAATCAAGGCTAAAGTAGGTTGGAGCATCATAAGACTATGGCTCGATCCATCCCCGCGTGAGCGACGGGGATGGGCTGGGGTATAAGACGAAGCCAGGACGAAGATGACATCGGGCGAGGATGAATCTAGAATCTCCGAGATCCAGCCGTTCTGGAGGATGTCTCGGGCGCCGCGGCCTTCTCAGAGCGTTCTGGAACGCTCTGAGAGCGCTCCGGAACGCGGCACGGTGGGCGCAGCCGTGGGCGCCGAGGTGGGCGCTGGAGTCCGAGTCGGGACCGCTGTGGGCATCGGCGTGGGCGCCAACGTGGGGGCCATCGCGGGATGCAGGCTGGCAGAACCTTGCGTGGGTGGCATCGTGCTATCCCCACAATTCCAAGACTGCTCCCCGCTGCCATGATGCTCATTCGGCCCGCTGAAGCGGAGCAGCTGCCGCCGAACGCGGTCCACAAAGGTGCCTTCGAACCCACCCAACACCCGTTTCAATGCATAACGTCCATGCAGCAGCCATAGTCCCAAGGGATGGCAGCTGTTCGCAGACCACCTGTGCCACTGCAGTGGATCGTACACCCATCGCACTACAGGCCAACAGGCACCTTGAAGTGACGTCGACGAGCCGCCGAGATGGTCGCGCGAGGCGGGCACCGTGAGCATGCCGTGCGCCGAGTCCTGTTGCAGGCGCAGCGTCCCGATCAACACGAGCACCACGGCTGCGAGCTTGCCTGCCGTCGCTGGCCGCTTCGTGACTGGTGTCTCCCCTTGGAGGTTGCGCGGATAGGGGCTGTGCGGGTTCGGGGCGGTGCCCCTCTCGCGAGTACTATTGGGCCCGAGCGGCCTGAGGCAAATAGGCACGAGCGAGTTGCAGACCGGTCTGTCTTACTCTTGCTGGTCGATGGTCGTTCAAATCTATACTTACGCAACCCCGAACCCGCGGTGCCCGCCCACCTTCATCTTCGAAAGTACCCTTTTTTGAATGCATCATCGTGCGGATCCGATTATGAGCTGGCACCGCATGGCAATGCTGCTCAATATTGCAGTCGCCTAGGGCACTTCGTATAATATGGCCCCGAACACCACCCAGATAGCAATAGGTCGCGATAGCCTCCACGATGGGCCCACCTGTCCCCAAACTCCCACCAACCCTTTAGGGCGTGAGTGGTTTCACAAGTTTTGTCTTCTCTCCCCATGCTTCCCCTGCTAGGGGAAGGGTTTAATGTTCCATATTAATAAACACCCCCTCCCACAGGCGACCGGCAGCCAACGAGGACCAACGACCCCCCCTTACCATCTCAGTCAGAAAACAATGCAAATTACATTTTGAGGCACAACCTTGGATCATAATCGTGGGCCCCGCGAGCACTTCATACTGTTTTTTGACTGGGACGGCGGGGGCGGGCTCATATTGCCTTCTGTGCGCAAGGCCACCACCTTTGTCAAAAAACACTACAAAATACAATTCGCGGCTAAATCTGGATCACGTGCCCCCGCAATCACTGTCCATTCGTTTTTGGCAAGGACGGCGGGGGTGCTGGCATATTGCCTGCTGTGCACAGGCCCAGCAGACACCATGATGGCCTTCCCGTCGCGATTGTGGATTGGTCTTCGACAGTGTGGGGGCCGACGTGTTTTCCGATGTGTGCTGTCACATGCGTGGACGCACCTGGCACACACTGCGCGTGCCCCAAACGTGGCGCACCTGGCGCGGAAGGACCATGCGGCACACATGGCGCACGTGGCGCATCTGGCGCGCCAGGCGTGCCTGGAACGCTTGGGCCCCAAGAGTGCCTGGCGCACTTGGCGCTCGTGGCGCGCCTGACACGCGTGACACAACTCGCCCCCGCGTCGCGCACATGGGATCTGTGTTGGTTGCCAGTGGCTGTCCATCCATAGATGACCGGTGAACATGCTGAGGATCGGGTGCTTGTGAGGTGTTGGGAGGGTGGGTGGGAGTGAGCGGCACAGCTTGCGGGCAGGGAGGGTCTTGATCACTGTTCCTTAGAAAAAAAATGCACCCCATCCTCCTGGCGACCAGCAGCCAACCAGGATCAATGCCGACCCTATGATCCCCACCCCCAACGCTCCCTCTCGAAAGCCATACAGACCACCCCCCGCCTCCAAATTCGAAGCATGCGCACTCAACCCGATGCGGTCCCTCCCAACCATCCCCGTCAAAAAACAATACAAAGTACACTGTGGGGCAACGTCTTGAATCATGTTCAATAAGGCCCACGAGCACTTTGTATTGCTTTCTGACAGGGACGGCGGGGTGTCAACATATTACCTGCTGTGCGCACGCTCACCATCCCTGTCAACAAAATTAGCCTGACGAAGGACCCAACCATATGCAGCTGCGACTGCCGCGAGGGAGATGAGACGAAGGAAGGGGCGCGCAAACTCCGAGTAGCGCGCGTGGTATAACCTTCTGTCACGAAACGTGTGAAGGGTGTGCCGACAGGAGTCGGACAGATTCCTACGAACCTTGCCATTGGGGCCTTCCGTGGAGCTCCGTATGGGGGCCACGAAACGTGTGAAGGGTGTGCCGAAGTGGGGCGGCAGTGCCATGCGAACTTTCCCACTGGGGCCTTCAGTGGAGCTTGCTATGGAGCAACGAAACGTGCCAAGGGTGTGCCGAAATGGGGCCTTCGGTGGAGCTCCCTCTGGGGCCACGAACCGTGTGAGGGGTGCGCCGAAATGGGGCAGCGGTGCCATGCGGACGCCCCACTGGGGCCTTCGGTTGAGCTCCGTATTGGGGCCACGAAACGTGTGAGATGTGTGCCGAAGTGGGGCGGCGGTGCCATGCGAACTTTCCCACTGGGGCCTTCGGTGGAACTTGCTATGTGGCAACGAAACGTGCCAAGGGTGTGCCGAAATGGGGCCTTCGGTGGAGCTCCCTCTGGGGCCACGAACCGTGTGAGGGGTGCGCCGAAATGGGGCAGCGGTGCCATGCGGACGCCCCACTGGGGCCTTCGGTTGAGCTCCGTATTGGGGCCACGAAACGTGTGAGATGTGTGCCGAAGTGGGGCGGCGGTGCCATGCGAACTTTCCCACTGGGGCCTTCGGTGGAACTTGCTATGTGGCAACGAAACGTGCCAAGGGTGTGCCGAAATGGGGCCTTCGGTGGAGCTCCCTCTGGGGCCACGAACCGTGTGAGGGGTGCGCCGAAATGGGGCAGCGGTGCCATCCGGACGCCACCAGTGGGGCCTTCAGTTGAGCTCCGTATGGAGGCCACGAAACGTGTGAGGGGTGCGCCGAAATGGGGCGGCAATGCCATGCGGACACTCCCGCTGGGGCCTTCGGCGGAACTCCCTCTGGGGCCACGAACCGTGTGAGGGGTGCGCCGAAATGGGGCGGCGTTGCCATGCGGACGCTCCCGCTGGGGCCTTCGGTGGAGCTCCCTATGGGGCCACGAACCGTGTGAGAGGTGCGCCGAGAGGGCCTACGATGGCCCTCGGGGCGCAGCCCTCACGGGCCCACGATGGTTCAAAGAGGGCCCTCGGCAGCCAAAGACGGCCTCCAAGATGGCTCGAGATAGTCGAAGATGTTTCTATGTATAGCCTACGTAGCATCCCGCAGTTGCGGATAAGAGTGAGGGGGCGGCGGGGACGTCGGCAGTCTGAGAGGCTCTGAAGAAACCCGCCGCAGGCGCCCAATTTTACTTGTACAACGAGCTCGCCGCAGACACTGATTATTTCGTTCAAACAATGTGGGTGGGTCGCGGGCTGGGTCGCGGGTGGATAGCCGGTGGATCGCGGGTCGGTCGCGGGTGGGTCGCAGGCAAAGTCGCGGGTGGGTCGCGGGTGGGTCGCGGATGGGTCGCGGATGGGTCGCGGGCCGGGTCGCGGGTGGGTCGCAGGTGGGTCGCAGGTGGGTCGTGGGTGGGTCGCGGGTGGGTCGCCGGCGGGTCGCGGGTTGGGTCGCGGGTTGGTCGCGGGTGGTTCGCGGGTGGGTCGCGGGTGTGTGGCGGGTGGTCGCCGGCCAGGTCGCGGGGGGACGACGACAATCAACAACAAACAAAGAACAACAACCAACAACTAACAACCAACAACCAACAGCCAATAGCCAACAACAACAACAACAACAGCAACAATCATTTTACCCGAACGCTCAGTGTTCTCACCAGTGCCAGGGTTTTCATGCGACGCGAGACAATACCCCCACTTCGTGGGGGGGCAGTTCAAGCTCTACCAAATATCCAAACGACTCTTCGCGACCACCCAAACCCAGCTTCCCGCCCTATGACGTTGGGACACTTCACTTCGTGGCGTGCGGACGACCGTGGCTACTACACTGGCGTGGGGTACACACCCACAGAACTTGGTCACTTATTCGGGGCGCGCGTGTGCCCAGCATCCTGCAATTGTGACATACAATACATGACACAGACAGACAGAGAGAGAGACAGAGAGCAGACAGAGAGAGAGACAGAGAGAGCGGAGTTGGTCACATTTTTGGGGCAAGTTCCTGAGATCGTCGTGTTTTTTGTTGGTCTTGCGCGCGCGAATGTCCACTTTACTTTTTTTTTGCAAGGGAGTATTGAAATTTGATTATGTTAGAACAAGAAAAAGTAGCTCGCGCGAGCTCATGTAACATAAATGTTGAAAAACCATTGGTTTTGTGGGAGTCGGACAGCGCGCGCGGGATGAAATTTGGACATTTTTTTTTTGAAAAACCATTGGCTTTTTGATGTTTTTATGTTGAAATCGTTACGAAACCTAAGGTTCTGGAAGGATTTCGTCTTGCGCGCGCGAATGTCCACTTTACCTTATTTTTTGCAAGGGATTATTGAAATTTGATTATGTTAGAACAAGAAAAAGTAGCTCGCGCGAGCTCATGTAACATAAATGTTGAAAAACCATTGGTTTTGTGGGATTCGGACAGCGCGCGCGGAAGGACATTTTGACAATTTTTTCTTAAAAAACCATTGGGTTTTTGATGTTTTTATGTTAAAATCGTTACGAAACCTAAGGTTTTGGAAGGATTTCGTCTTGCGCGCACGAATGTCCACTTTACCTTATTTTTTGCAAGGGATTCTTGCAATTTGATCAACTAAGAACAAGAATTTTCATTTTCTATTGTTTTTTGCAAGGGAAAACGAGCGTCAACAAAAAACCGGATCCGGTACCAATCGTTTTGCCTGAGACTTCCTCACGAAAATGATGAAAATGTGGCTGCGGCCTAGGCGCGGCGCAGAGGTCGCGCACCAGGGGTCCCAACAATAATTATTCTTAAGAAGAAATAATGTTCAACAACAACAACAACAACACCACCAACAGCACCAACAACAACAACAACAACAGCAACAGCAACAACAACAACAGCAACCAACAACCACAACCACAACCACAACACCAACACCACCACCACCATCACCAGCATCAACACTATAACCACAACTTCAACACCAACACCAACAACAATCACAACACCAATACTAATAGCACCAATACTAACAACACCAACACCAACCACAACGGAAACAATAATTTTAAGCCTGTTCGCTCTTCTCTGCTCGCGTGCCATTCTTTCAGCACGTATATCCCACACCCTCGATACCTGCCCTCTTCGTCTTGTAGCCCCTAAGGCAGGGGAGAAGAGGACGGTTGGAAGAAAGGGAAAGGGGCAGGCGGGTTGGTTGAGCGTGCGTTATGCATGAATCGCGAAACAAATCTCGAGCGACAACGCGATTCCCAATTAAATGGTGAGGATATCCGCAGCGACAGCGTGATTCCTGAGTGTCCAGGGCGCGGCGTCGGAATCATTTGCGAAGAAGTCTCACGCGAGAGCCCGATTCGTGTGCAAACCGTGAGGAACCCCTCGCGAGAGCGCGATTCGAGAATCAATTGTAAGGAAGCATCAGGCGGGAGCCGCTGCTGTTGTAAACGGGGGGACAGAGACACAACTTGGTGACCCCGCGCTTTCCCCGTTAGAACCAAAAACACGATGCGAGCCGCGGGAGGAGCACTTGAATCGAAAAACATTCAAGGGTTACCGGAAACGGGGATGATAATGAGGAGGAGGAGGTCAATCTGCACCACAGAGCAACACCTCACTTCAGCCAGGCGCCCAGGGATAGTGAATGACCGTGCTGCCCCCCGTTCTGACAACATACCTCCAAGAGGCCTGGATTCATCACCAAAGCGGTTCTGAGTGTTCTTGCAGTCTTCCTAGGCGGCCTCCAAGAGGCCGACCATTCCCAAACAACTGAAGCAAATCCGCTGACCCCTCGTGCTTAGATGCTGGAGCTTCGTGTGCTACTTGAGGACTAGTTGTGGCTGGGCTGAAATTACTTCTAGTTACTTCTGTTATGGTGTAAATGGCGCAAGTTGTGTAAGCTTGGTGTAAGTGATGTAAGTGGTTGCTTGGCTTTGTAACTACGCTTGTGCTGCTCATAAATATGTGTCTTCTTTCGGACAGCCAGCTAAGGTACTTATTCAATCGCACTAAGCAACTTAGTTGTTCTTGGTAGAAAGCCACTCAGCCCTACTTGCTAGCACTTCTGCAGAACTTACGCCCATGCTCCACTCAGCCCCCTCCGCGACTCGCGCGCCTGGACTCGCTTCCCCTACCTAGTTCGTTCGCGGGTCGCCGCCGTGGCAAGTGAACGCCTGACGGGGCTGACGCAGGTTCACTTTCACCACCTATCGTCCTTAGGGGGAGGAGGAGAATGATCGAACACGAGGATCGAGAGAAAGAGAGTGTTTGTTGCTGCAGACCCGTGCAGGCACGCCAGCACGCATAGTCAAGTACATTGACCATCGCCGCTCAAACCTCCCTTGGCCCCTCCCCTTGTTTTGCCTCCACCTCGTCCTGCTCCTCTCCTCCAGAGCATGGGGGAGATAGCGATAACGATCGCTTGAGGAAGGTTGTGGGATGATGGAGGGTACCGATTGCGATCGCTTGGGGGAGGAAGAGGTGAGGGAAGTTTGTGGAGGAGAAAGCGATCGCGATCGCTTGGGGAAGGTTGTGGGATGATGGAGGGTAGCGATTGCGATCGCTTGAGGGAGGAAGAATGGAGGGAACCTGGTGAGGGAGATCGCGATAGCTCTCGCTTGACGAAAGTTGTGGGATGATAGAGGCTAGCGACTGCGAACGCTTGAGGGAGGGAAAATGAAAGGGAAGTTTATGGAGGAGATAGCGATAACGATCGCTTGGGGAAGGTTGTGGGATGATGGCGGGTACCGATTGCGATCGCTTGAGGAAGGAAAAGGAGAGGGAAGTGGACGAGGGAGATAGCCATACCGATCGCTTGAGGACGCCTGTGAGATGATGGAGGGTAACGATTACGATCGCTGAAGGGAAGGAAGAGGTGATGGGAGTTGATGCGGGAGATACCGATAGCGGTCGCTTGAGGAAGGTTGTGGGGTGATGGAGGGTGCCGGTTGCGATCGCTTGAGGGAGGAAGAGGAGAGGGAAGTTGGTGAGGGAGATAGCTATAGCGGTCGCTTGAGGAAAGATGAGATATGATGGAGGCTTAGCGCTTGCGACCGCTTGAGGGGGGAACAGGAGGGGGAAGTCGACGAGGGAGATAACGATAGCGGTCGCTTGAGGAAGGTTGTGGGATGATTGAGGGTAGCCATTGCGACCGTTTGGGGAAGGAAGAGGTAAGACAAGCCGATGGGGGAGATAGCGATCGCGATCGCTTGAGGAAGAGGGTGGGATGATGGAGCGTAACGATTGCGATCGCTTGGGGAAGGTAGTGAGGTGATTGAGGGTAGCGGTTGCGATCGCTTGAGGGAAGGAAGAGGTGAGGGGAGCTGTTGGGGGAGACAGCAATAGCGATCGCTTGAGGAAATTTGTGGGATGATGGAGTGTATCGATTGCCAACGCTTGAGGGATGAAGGGGGAACGAACGTTGATGAGGGAGGTAGCGGTAGCGCTCGCTTGATGAAGGTTGTGGTGATGGAGGGTAGCGATTGCGATTGCCTGAGGGAGGAAGAGGAGAGGGGGGGTGATGAGGGAGATAGCGATAGCCGTCGCCTGAGGAAGGTTGTGGGCTGATTGAGGGTAGCGATTGCGATCGCCTGAGGGAGGAAGAGGAGAGTGGGGGTGGATGAGGGAGATAGCGATGGCGATCGCCTGAGGGAGGTAGCGGGATGTCGCGTTGTGCGCGCACGTCAGCGCGGCAGCCGTTTTTGGCTGCGCGCGCGGTGTCGCGCGTGCCGCGAGCCGCGCGCACGGCGCGCATCGGCGCCGCGGGAGCAGCCTGCCGCGGAGCGCGGCGCGCCCTCCCCTCCAGGCGCCCTGCGACGCAGGAGCTGCCGCGGCGCAGCCCAGGGGGGGCCTGGCGCAGCTCAGGGCCGCGAGGGCTCTGGGGCTGCAGGCGCCGCTCACGATGTCGGCCGCCCAGGAGTTGTTGGCGCAGCTCAGGGCCGCCACCAGCTTCCCCGCGGAGCGAGACGTGGCAGGAGCTCCTGAACGTCCAGGCCACCGTGGCGTTGTCCATGATGCAGTCGTGGGCGTTCATTGCCGCCGAGGACTCCGCCGAGCTTGTGGTGGCGATCGCCGAGCTGCCTTCCCGCGCGAAGAAGCGGGGTGAGCTCCTCGCGTTGACCACCTCGCTCGCGACGGCCTCGGCGAGGGTGCTGCAGGCCAGCGCGGCGGCGAGCCAGCAGCTGCTCAGCTCGTCGCGCACGCCCCAGCAGGATTTCACTGCCATCACTGCCTGCCTGACGGCGAAGCAGCGGGAGGTCATCCTGCATGAGGGAAACGACTTCCTGGGCCGCGTTGGGGTCGTGCTCCGGCACTGCAAGGCCCTCGGGTGGCGCGCCGTAAGCGAGCCGACGGCCCAGACGGCGACCTGCATCGCCTTGCAGGTGCAGGGCGTCGATAGGGCGCTGCGCCAGTGCCCCTTGGTCCTCTGGGGCTTCTCCAAGAGGGCGGAGACTTCCGCCGGGAAGCTCATCCCGTGGAAGGCGTGCAAGCAGCTGGCCGCTGCCGAGTCGTCTTTCGTGGCGGCGCTCCCCGCGAGCCCGACAGATTTCGCCAGGGCCCACGGCGAGGTCTACAGTCAAAAACACTAATAAGGACGCGCGGTAAGGACGCAAGACCCGTGGAAGCCGAAGTTGGGATTTTTTGGGCGGCGGACGACGAAAACCTCAAGGACGCAAGAGCAAGGAAGAGCAAGGACGCAAGGGTACCCTGAGCAAAGTCGCGCGTCCTTATTAGGGTTTTTGACTGTACACTCGGGTGCTCAGCAGAGCTGGCCCCGTGGGCTTCCCGCTCGACGTGGCACAGCTCCTCGCGCTGGCGGACGGCGTCCCCGTGCGCGAGAGCAGAGCGAGGCTCAAAGGCGATGCCTGCGTCGCCGTCGGTGGACCTCGCGAGGCAGCTCGCCGAAGGGGAGCGGCCGTGGCGGCGCCCGGGCCATGAGGCTGCAGGCGATGCCGGCCGTCGACGCAAGCAGCCCTTCCGATCGGCGGCGTCAGTGCCCCCCAAACACACCTGGGGCGTCAAAGGTGCGGGGGGAAGGGCCGAGGATTTGGACGCCCGAAACGGGTACGGAAATAATGGGTACGATGCCCAACAGCAGCTCCTGTTCATTTTGAACAGGACTCGCTGTCCGCGCCGCCGCGGCCTGTATCCATTCGAGACAGAATGCCGCCTGCCCAACAGCGGCCGCTGTTGGTTTGGGACAACATTTGTTGTTGGGCATCGTTCCCCTTCTTTCCGTACCCATTTCGGGCGTCCAAAGTGGACATACAGTCTGACCTCACAAGAATTACCCCGGCACGCGAAGCCATGTAGGCAGTGCACCCAGAGAGGGAAGCAAAGAGGGCAGGGCTGTTTGGTAGACGCCCAGGGCCGTTCAGTACACGCCGATTGTCAGGTCGGGGGGGGATCATATCCTTGCTCGAATTCCATCCTCGCCAGTCCATTGATACGAGCGCTCGGATATGCTTTCGTGGAGAGTGGGCGGGGATGGAGACGAGGACGTTGTGAAGGAGGAGGACGACACGGACGACGGTCGAGGACAACGAGGAGAAGAGGGCGAGGACGAAGGAGGATGTATGTAACACGAAACCGACGAACGCCCTCGGGGCCGCGGCGGCGGCCTGCGTCGGCTGCCCGGAAACGTACCGTTCGTCCGCGAGCTTGGCAAGCATCGGCCTGGGCTTATTCCCCTTCAAGGCGCAGTCCCACGTGCTCCTGTCGCGAAAGCGGTGGCGGCGGCGGCGCTGCTGCTGCTGCTGCTGCTGCTGCTGCTTCTCCTCCTCCAGTTTCGACCTGCGCATCATCGGCGACGGCACGGCTGCACGCAACTCGAAGAGTTGAGCACGAGGTCCCTCCTCCTGTGCGCTGTCCTCTTCTTCCTCCTCCTCCTCCTCCTCCTCCTGCTCCTCCTCCTCTTCCTCCTCCCCCCCTCCACCGCCTCTTCCTCTTCCCGCGCTAAAGTAACAAAACCCAAGCAAACTACTCGAGCACAATGCGATCAGTGCGGCGCACATGATACAATTAATTCTCAATGCCCAGCATGGCTGTAGTCGCCTTTTTGGGGCCTGTTCCGGATCTTGAACGGCCATTGCGCTCGATGAGACCTGGGAAAGGATCGGAACACAAGGCGACTCACGACAAGCAGAAAATGAACTCCTCCTCCTCCTCCTCCTCCTCCTCCTCCTCCTCCTCCTCCTCCTCCTCCCCTTGCTCCTCCTCCTCCTCCTCCTCCTCCTCCTCCTCCTCCTCCTCCTCCCCTTGCTCCTCCTCCTCCTCCTCCTCCTCCCCTTGCTCCTCCTCCACCCTCTTCCTCCTCTGTTTCCTCCTCCTCCTCGTCCTCCTCTTCTTTTTCTTATTATTCTTATTATTATTATTCCTCTTCCGCTTCCTCTTCCTCTTCCTCTTGCTCCTCTTGTTCTTTTTCTTACGCCTCCTCCTCCTCCTCTTCTTCTTCTTCTTCTTCTTTTTCTTATTCTTCTTCTTCGTCTTCTTCTTCTTCTTATTCGTCTTCTTCTTCTTCTTCTTCCTCTTCTTCTTCCTCTTCTTCATCTTCTTCTTCTTCTTCTTCCTCCTCTTCCTCCTCTTCTTCCTCCTCCTCTTCCTCCTCCTCTTCCTCCTCCTCGTCCTCCTCCTCGTCCTCCTCCTCGTCCTCCTCCTCGTCCTCCTCCTCGTCCTCCTCCTCGTCCTCCTCCTCGTCCTCCTCCTCGTCCTCCTCTCTCGTCCTCCTCCTCGTCCTCCTCGTCCTCCTCCTCGTCCTCCTCCTCGTCCTCCTCCCTCGTCCTCCTCCTCGTCCTCCTCCTCGTCCTCCTCCTCGTCCCCTCCTCGTCCCCTCTCCTCGTCCTCCTCCTCGTCCTCCTCCTCGTCCTCCTCGTCCTCCTCCTCGTCGTCCTCCTCCTCGTCCTCCTCTCCTCCTCGTCCTCCTCCTCGTCCTCCTCCTCGTCCCTCCTCCCTCGTCCTCTCCTCTCCTCCTCCTCGTCCTCCTCCTCGTCCTCCTCCTCGTCCTCCTCCTCCTCCTCGTCCTCTCCTCGTCTCCTCCTCGTCCCTCCTCCTCGTCCTCCTCCTCTCCTCCTCCTCGTCCTCCTCCTCGTCCTCCTCCTCGTCCTCCTCCTCGTCTCCTCCTCGTCCTCCTCCTCGTCCTCCTCCTCGTCCTCCTCCTCGTCCTCCTCCTCGTCCTCCTCCTCGTCCTCCTCGTCTCGTCCTCCTCCCTCCTCCTCCTCCTCCTCCTCCTCCTCCTCCTCGTCCTCCTCCGCCTCCGCCTCCGCCTCCGCCTCCGCCTCCGCCTCCGCCTCCTCCTCCGCCTCCTCCTCCTCCTCCTCCTCCTCCTCCTCCTCCTCCTCCTCCTCCTCCTCCTCCTCTCCCTCCTCCTCCTCCTCCTCCTCCTCCTCCTCCTCCTCCTCCTCCTCCTCCTCCTCCTCCTCCTCCTTCCTCCTCCTCCTCCTCCTCCTCCTCCCCTCCTCCTCCTCCTCCTCCTCCTCCTCCTCCCCCTCCTCCTTCCTCCTCCTCCTCCCCTCCCTCCTCCTCCTCCTCCTCCTCCCTCCTCCTCCTCCTCCTCCTCCTCCTCCTCCTCCTCCTCCTCCTCCTCCTCCTCCTCGTCATTCCTGCCCTTTCCCTCTCCCCTTTCCTCTTCCCGTCGCCCTCCCCCCTTCTCCTCCGCGCCCGCCTCCGCCTCCGCGCTTCCGCCTTCCCCCTCCCCGTGCTCCTGCCCCTGCGGCCGCGAGCCCGGCCGGCCCGGCGCCCCGCATAGAAGGGAGACGAAACGTCCAGCGCGTATAGTCGGGCTGCTGAAATAAGGAACGCCAAATAAGGAACGAAGCCCCTCTGTGGCTTCGAAAAATCTGGGTACACGAGAAAGGCTAGAGGAACAACCACGGAATGACGTGGGGAACCTCGGGCCCCTTCCGTGCCCAAACTGGTCTTTATTTCAACGTCTTGGCTGTGCCCTGGCGGACCCCGACAAAACGCCCCCCGAGAGCCCCGAACGAAATGGCGGAGGAGCCCTCACGGGCCCTCCGCAAATCCTGCCCTCTTCTCTTCTGGGCCAGCGCGCGGGTCTTTCAAAGCAGCGTGTGTTCCTCTGGCTCCTCCGCGGCCTCCCCCACCTCGGCCGCGCCTTCTCGCCGTCGTCACTATTAGGCGCTTTCGTCGCCCCATCTGCACACAGGCCTCCGTCGGTTCGCTTGTTCCGCCACCTCCTCGCCCTCCTCGGCCGTTGCCGCCCCCTCTTCCTGCGCCCCCTCTGTCCTCTGGCTGGCCTCTGCCCCCAGGTCGGCGGCGCCAAGGTGCGGCGACATAGTCGCCTCCTCGGCGCCCTCGCAGCCCCCTCCGCTCCGCGGCCTCTTCGTGCCCGGCCGCCGCTGCCGCCGCCGCCTTATCCTCCTCCGCCGCCTGGTTCTCTTCCTCGATGCTCGCCGCCATCAGGCCAGCCGCCTCCACCACGGGGCCTCGCCTGCGCCATGCCGGCGCAAGGGGATCCTGCAGACACGGGAGCACAAAGTGCGCTTGGCGACCCACGCCTGCGCGCGCGATTCGCCGCCGCCCATGACGACCAGCATGCGGGCGGGCGCCTGCGCGCCCTCGCCCGCGCGGCCCGCCAGCTCAAGCACGCACAAGAGGATGGTCAGCCAAACGCAGCGCCGCCGCTTGGCCATCTTCTCCTCCGCTGCCGCGGCTCCGTCCCTGCCAGCCGCTGCTCGGGTCCGTGGCAAATCGAAGCGGGCGCCCGCTGCG